AGAATAGTTTTATTGCCACAAACCAACTCTCCGTCTTCTTCCTTATTCCTGTCTTCTGGCAGCCAGTGCTCTGTTCTGTTAATCTATATAGGCTTGTCATTTCAAGAATGGAATTATAAAGTATGTTACTTTTTGAGATTTACGATTTACTTTTTTCACTAAGCGTGATGCTTTTGAGACCCCGGTTGTTACATGTGTCAAAAGTTTGTTCCTTTTTATTGCTAAGTAGTCTTTCTTTGTGTGGATGTACCAAGGTTAATTTTAACATTCATCCACAGAAGGACATTTGAATTGTTTAAAGGTTTTTTTTCCTCCATCATAAATAAAACTGCTATGAGCAATATAAGTATGTGTGAAGTTAAGTGTTCATTTCTTGGGGATAAATGCCAAGGAGTGCTGTTGGTAGGTTGTATGATATTATTACTGTTTTTTTACTTTAGGTGCTCTGTTAGGCATTTAGTAATATTTTATCCTGATTTTAACTTCTCTAACTAGGCTGTGTTGGTATATCTATATGTTTGTGGGTAAATTTGACTTCTTCCTTCCCTGTGAAGAACATCAGATTCCTAAACAGGCAGTAAGACATACATGCTCAATTTCCAAGTCATCGCTCTAATTTCTTGATCTCTCTCTTCTCTTCTAGTTGTAAGTTCATTGTTTTCCTCTCTACCAGCCTAACCTCTACCATGTGTTCCCTTATTTTTTTTGCCACACTTACCCTCTAAATCCCTTCAACTTTAGATTAATTTAGGAGTATAATTTAGATTGCCAAATATTATTGTTTCAGGTCTTCATCCATTCCTTTTTACTTCTTTCATCAAAAACGTTTCCTCTCTCACCTGCACATCCATGTTTATTGCGGCACTATTCACAATAGCCAAGTTATGGAAACAGCCAAGATGCCCCACTACTGATGAATGGATCAAGAAAATGTGGTATCTATACACAATGGAATTTTATGCAGCCATGAAGAACGAAATGTTATCATTTGCTGGTAAATGGATGGAATTGGAGAACATCATTCTGAGTGAGGTTAGCCTGGGCCAAAAGACCAAAAATCGTATGTTCTCCCTCATATGTGGACATAAATCAAGGGCAAACACAACAAGGGGATTAGACTTTGAGCACATGATAAAAGCGAGAACACACAAGGGAGGGGTGAGGATAGGTAAGACACCTAAAAAATTAGCTAGCATTTGTTGCCCTTAATGCAGAGAAACTAAAGCAGATACCTTAAAAGCAACTGAGACCAATAGGAGAAGGGGACCAGGAACTAGAGAAAAGGTTAGATCAAAAAGAATTAACCTAGTAGGTAATACACACAAACAGGAAATTAATGTGAGTCAACTCCCTGTATAGCTATCCTTATCTCAACTAGCAAAAACCCTTGTTCCTTCCTATTATTGCTTATACTCTCTCTTCAACAAAATTAGAGATAAGGGCAAAATAGTTTCTGCCGGGTATTGAGGGGGTAGGGGGCAGAGAGAGGGGGTGGAGTGGGTGGTAAGGGAGGGGGTGGGGGTAGGGGCAGGGGGGAGAAATGACCCAAGCATAGTATGCACATATGAATAATAAAACAATTAAAAAAAAGTTGCCTCTCTTGCTCTCAACAGATAGATTTGCTTCCGTGTTGCTAATCAGATATACTATATGTAGAATATAGATTCATCATATAGATAATTCTATGTATATAGTATATGTGGAGATAATCCCCCTTAATTACTTCCTGTTTTTCCTACCCCCAAATATACTTATCTGTAGCTGAATCCATTTTGAATTTCCTATTACAGTGGAAAATTATCCTTTTTCTCTGAGACCAAGTTTTCTGTCAGTACATTAGATCCTTTTAACTACTTCTTCCTTTTAAAACAGAAATAGCTGAATTGAGTGCTTGTTCGATAATGTTTTCCTTATTTATGTGTATTTCTCTTTCTTTATGATTCCTTCTTCATCCACCCATCTCTGTCCTTCTGTTCTTCAAAGTACAAGTATCCTTCTTTATGCTTTGTGGATTTTCTCATCTCAAACCTTTGCTGTTGGCACCAAAGCCGTATACTTTTTTTTTTCTAGCTCACATCTCCTTTCTTTATTCCAAACCTGTATTTTCAAGTTTGAACTACACTGGAACTTTAATATAAGCTTGTCAAAATGTTATTTTTTTTGTTTTCTCCAAAACGTTATTTTTTTGTTTTCTCCAACTTGAATATCCATGCTGGATCCACCTTATTACTTAAGCCAGCAGGTCTGACATTACTCATGATCCCTTGCTCTTCCTTACTTTTACTTTGATTTGATACTTCATTGTCTCTGGAAGTATTCCTATCTGTTGTTACCTTTGTTTTTTAATTTAAACCAATGGTTCTCAGGTGCATCAGACCTAATATTCCACTTATGTGACAAATATTTTATAACATCCCTTTTATAATAGTAAACTACATAATTTTTTTATAATGTAGTATCCTAACCGAGAAGAGAAATAGAAGAAAAATATTATTTAAATGCTTAGGCACAATGCCAGAAAATAATTATCTATATTAGAGGTACCTTTTTTTTTTTTTTTTTTTTTGTGGTGGGGTTTGAACACCTTAAAAAGCAGGTGTTCTTTTGCTTGAGCCATACCTGTAGTCCATTTGCTCTGGTTATTTTGGAGATGGAATCTTGCAAACTATTTGCTCTGGCTGGCCTTGAACCAGGATCCTCCCAGTCTCAGCTTCCCACGTAGCAAGGAATTACAGAAGTGAGCCTGGTGTCTGGCTCTAGATACTGGGTTTTGAACTGAGGGCCACATGCTCGTTGAGCAGGTGCTCTACCAGTTGAGCCAGATCTTCCCTCTCCCTTCCCCAGGCCCTTTTTTGCTTTGTTTTTCAGGTAGAGTTTCAGATTTTTTTGCCTGGGGTAGTCTGGACTGAGATCTTCCTATTTACACCTCCTGAGTAGCTGGGATTTCAGTTATATGCTACCATGGCCAGTTTATTGGTTGAGATGGGTCTCACTAACTTTATTCCCAGGCTGGCCTCAAACTTCCATCCTTTTTATCTTTACCTCCCACGTAGTTGTGATTACTGGCACGTGTGTGACACTGTGACTGGCCCTCAGCAATGAAGAATTTATTGAATTTTACATGGGAATATGAAAATGCTTAATAGAAATGCTGAACAAAAACATACATATGTCATGAGTATAATAGCTGCAAGTACAGACTGATATAGGTGTATTTGATTTGTAACTCAAACACCAAGATCAATTTGGGTGTTACTCGTCACAAATAATGAATAAATCTTAAAGTTTTAATTTGAAGTAGTTTTCCCTTTAGAGCATAGACATTACTGCCTGAAAAGAGCAAAAACAGTTGAGGTTTATATGTAAAGTGGAACTAGGGTCTGTCTAGATGTTCAAAATTATAAATAGGTATTTCATCTAGTTATGTCTGGTGGGTGTTTGAAAATTATATAGTAAGCAAAAGTAGTTCTCATCTACAGACCCTGCCTGGAGCATTTTCCTGGAAAATATCAGTGGCATTTTCCTGAGCAGAACATTGAGACCACCCAAAGTGAAACTGTAAAATTGTACAATGTTACAATTAAAAGTAGTTGAGTTCTACACTTACTATGTTTGGCATGTACTATTGTGGTGTTTTCCAAATTTGGCCTTGTGTTAGAATTAACTAGAAAGTTCTTTGAACATAAAGATTACTGTGCCTTGCCACAGATATTCTTTTGGTTAGCATTCTTGGGCTAAGGTCTAGGATTCCTAAGTTCTTCCAAATGATTCATGCTGATTGGCACTGATGGAATATTTAAGAATTAATCATTAAATTAGTGCTACCATTTAACTAGTCTTCTGCCTTTTTTCTGATCCCCTGATTTTTAAAAATCTTTTTAAACAATATCAGGTAAAACTTTAGAAATATACCATCAATAATACTTTATTGGCTCGTTGTATTTACTTGTGGCAGCCCCTGAGAATACCTTCCTGGAACATTAGGGTTTAGAGAGGATAATTGCAAAATCATAGTTCATGAGGGATAAAAAGTCCAAATCACTAAATTTAAATAACCAGCCTTTCAAGGTTTGACAACTTATATTTTCAGTCTCATCTTGGGGCCTGAATTCTAGCCGTAGATAAACTGCTTATGGTTCCAGAAATGGGCAGTTTTCTCATATCTCTTGTCAAAATGCCCACTCCTGCAATATGAACTTGCAAGCCCAAATTCAACTTTCAGCATCATCACATTCTTCTTACCTTCTGTTCCTGTGCGCTCATAATCTTTTTTCATGGTCTTGTAATTTGTCTGTTTCCTTCCCTTTGTTAAGATCATTGAAAGCAAGGACTTTGTCTTTTTTTTTTTTTAAAGCACTAGATAGGGTATAGTGTCTGACTCACAGTAAACATTTCATGAGTGAGTGGCTGTTTGGAAGGATTATGGGTTTATGTTAATCTCAAAGTATGGTTGATATTTTCTGCTTTTACCAAGAGAAAGTATGTGTATTGATTACTTTTAAATTTTGACATGTACTGATTAGCTTTTAATCTAAAACACAGTGTGACTGTTTTACATCTTGGCTGCCCAGGAGGGAAAACTCTATTGGCTGAATTGAAGTGATAATCTTGTTAATAGAGCAACAGACTTGTTAGTCTACTGCACATGAGAGGCTGCTATTAATATCTTATGGTTTGAGCATCTTGGTTTATTCAAAAGTGGAAAAACTGTCTCACCTACTGTTTCTGTCTTGGGTACCAAATATATGTAGTTTTTGTGGCTAATGGAAAGGGGAAAAAATTTTCCATTTACTGAATTTAAGTCTTTTTGCCATTTTCCCTCATTAATCTTTCAGTTTATAAGGAAAAGAAGAAAGTCAGAAGTTTCTCAGTTTTCTTTTAATAGTGATGGAGAATTTTTTTCTTCATAAATTTTATTATGCTGCTAGTGACATTTTACTAAAATTTTCTAACTTGTCTGAATAATTAACTGTTTCTTTTCCTCCTTTTTCCCCCTGTAGGTTAAGCATCTCTAATCTGAACATACAAAATGTTCTGAAATTTGAAACTTGGGAGCACTGGTGAAGCTCAGAATGTTTTAGATTTTGGAGCATTTTGGATTTTAGATTTTTGAATTAGGGATGTTCAAGAGGGAAAGTCTGCACAATATTCCAAAATCCAAAACACTCTGAAGTACTTCTGGTCTCAAGCATTTTGGAGGTGGGTTACTAAATCTGTATAGTGTAGTTGTGATTATTCAATTAGACATATCTGTTGTATATTGGCATTGTCTGCAAAAAGAGAAAAATTATCTTTCGCATAAAAATTGAGAACTGAGAGTGGTATCACGTGTTTAAGCAAGTGATACTAGTTTGAAGGAATGTGCCAGAAATGGAATGAGTAAAGTTGAAGGTTCTTTTAAGATACATAGGAAAAGTGCTCTGTGGTAAATCTGTTTTACAGATTAAAACTTCAGATTTGATATGTACTTTAAAAGATGGCTTTAGAGGCTGGGAATGTCACTCTGTGATGGAAGATTTTGCCTAGCATGTGTGAAGAAATAGGTTCAATCTCCAGCACCACAAAAAGAGAAAAATCAAACAAAACAGTGCTTTAAAAAGAAAGTTAGTCTGATATAAGACATTGGGTTTAGAAGTTGGGGAGAGGCTATACAGAGGTTACAGTGAGAATTAGAGGTATATCAGATTGACTGAGAGAATTTGAGTAATTTTATCTTTTTAAAGAACAAAGACTTCCCAAAGTGAGAATGATAGTTCACATTCATGTTTCTGTTTGGCTTAAAATATTTATTTAATTTTGTCATTTTATGTTGCTGATATATTTTAAAGATGGCAATATCATATAACTATTTTGTGGCCATGAAGTTCAGTGGATAACATGCAGTCCTCTCCACACTGGATTCCAAGTTTAATTTGTCCAGTGGTTAACCAATTTCTGAAACATGCCACCACTGAAGTTTCACCTGTGAGTTGCAGCAGCTATATGGAAATAAACAGTTCTTTTGGTGTATACTATACTTTGCTTAGTAAACTAGGCATTTTTCAGCACACAAGATAGGTATTTGAAAAATAAAGGGGCTCCTGAGGAGGGAGGGAGGGAGGGAGAAAAGAATAAATAAATGGAACAGAGGGGATTTTGGGGCAGTCAAACTATTCTATATGATACAGCAATAACCTGTAGAAAAGCCTGAAGAGCCTTTTAAGTTGTTAACTGTAAACCTGATCTTTCTCCCTTATTCACAGTTGTGAACACTGTTTTACAGTGTTCTTGGTTCTCTCAACCTTTACATATTTTCTCATTGTGGAGTGTTCTTTTTTTATTTTTATTACATGGCTGTAAGCAATTTGAAAGCAGGAACCAGATATATTTTATTTTCAATGCTTCGCATAATGCTAGACACATAGTGGTTCAGTAAATATTTGTTAAATACTTGGATGGCATGCAGTAAGCTTGTCTTATTTATGGATTCATTATATGCAGTTTTGATCAAACATGGTTAAAAAAATTAAATTTTTTGGTTTTATAATTTCTTTTAATTTTTAAGTTCCCACATGTGCATTACACAGCTTGGTTGATGCAGATAAGCTCTCAATCCTGCATCACCTGTTGTGTTCAAATTGTTGTGTGATCTGCTAAGTGTTTTTCTATCCTTGATTTTGTGGAAATCTGCTTCCTCAAAACCAAATAGTGCCCAAAAAGCAAGGCAAAAGTTATGGTAATTCTCCTAAGCCAAAAACTGATAAATGTGGCATTAGAAAAAATATCAAGCACCCATAGTAACTTATGAACTCTGTTTACCCTGAACATTCATGGTTTTTCCTGAATGGTGGTTTCCTTGGAACTGTATACCACAGATACCAAGAGTCTACTGTAATTGTAGTGTTTCTTTTGTTTGAGGTTTTCTTTGGACTCCTGTTTAGGAACTGTTATTCATCTATGTCTTAAATCTTCCATACATGTCCCATTTATAAAAATGTCCAAGTAAATAAAGTTTGTATGTATTGCATTTAAAAACAACAATTAAAAGTATCTCCAGGACCGTGTAACAGAAGTCTGGAATTCCCCTCTCAGGCGCAATTTAGTTATAAAATAATTTGCCTTTGTTTTTCTTCACTGATGTTCATCTCTGATTTTACAGTACCTGTCAAATATGTCACTTGTAGAAAGCATTTAAATGTTAAGCAAGTGAATTACAAAGTAATGAAATTATTTCCAAAGAAAGAAACTGATTGTAACTACATCCTTTTAATGTGACCTCCAAATTCCGAAAGAGCAATAGTGTGACATCAGCACAACCATTTTAGTGAATGTTGTCAGGTTATACTTTCAAGCTTGTGGTAGCACTTCTAACATCATCACAAGTATTTTTCCTCATTCTACTCCTGCTTAATTTTATTTACTTTTTTTAAATTGAAAACTCAGTTTATATTAGATTTTGTGACAAAAATGGAGTTACTGAGTATTTTGAGGTTTATTAGCCCAACTAATTCTAGTTAAATTATTTTAATCTTATCTAGAAGGTAGTGGAATTATGCCAGAAGAGATTTCTTACATTTATTTCATTATGATCAGTATAGTAGGTAAGCTGTATTTTTAAAAAAAATCCTTTTCTTTGTGGGTAATGTTTATGAAATAATGTACCTTTTCAAATTGTGAGAAGATACATTTTTATCTGAAATGAACCAGATCGAGATAAATTTTATTTGCATTGTTAATCTACTTTTTAAGAAATTACCTTCTTAATGTTTTTTCCAAAACATTAAAAAAAAATTCTGCTTAAGAAATCAACATGTTTCTTTATAACTATGTTTTGTAGATACTGTCATGTATCCATTTTTTAACATTTTGTTTCCTAATTTTAGACTTAAGTTGTTGTATTTGTACAAACAGTCCAGAGTTTTCCTGTACCTTTTACCTAGTCTTCCCCAGTGATAACATCTTATATAACCATGGTACAACTATTAAAGCCAGGGAATCGACATTTGTACAATGTTAATTAATTTAATGTTAATTAAATTATAGTCTTATTAGGGATTCATCAGATTTTTCATATTTGCTGTCCTCCCCCGTGGGGTAGATGGTTCTATGAAATATAAGCTCTGTCAAAATAAAATATCAGACTGTTCATCACCTCAAAGAAACTCCCACATGCTGCCCTGTAACCACACCCTCTCTCCAACCCTAAGACGTGGCCGTCACTGATCATTGTCTATCATTTTACTTTTGTCATTAGGAATATTGTATGAACAAAATCATATAAAATCATATAAAACCTTTTGATAGTGACTTTTTTTTATTTGTGTAGTACTGGGGATTGAACCCAGAGCCTCGTTCATGCTAGGCAAACATTGAACCACTGAGCAGTATTCCCAGCCCTGATAACTGGCTTTTTTTTATTCCAGTTACCTTGAGAGCAATAATAGTTCCTCTTTATTGTCAAGCAGTGTTAAATTGGTTTTTGTCCATTAATATACATTTAGATTGTTTCCAAATAAGATTGCAGTGAATATAGATTTTTGTGTGAACCTACATTTTCATTCTACAGGATAATATAGATGTATTTATTACAAGCTAGCACAATGCTAAGTTGTATGGTAATTGTATGTTTAACTTTAGGAGAGACTGCCAGATTATTTTGTAGAGTGACTATGCCATTTAATATTCTCATCAGCAGTGAATGGGGTCACAGTATATCTGTATTTTCGTTGGGAAATGGTATCAGCAGTGTTTTTATATTTTAGCTCTTCTAACAGGTGTCTAGTTATTCTTACATTTCCCTAATGGCTAACAATGTTGAATATCTTTGCATGTACTTATTTTCCAATTGACTCTTTTAGAGTCTGTATTCAAGTTTGTTTTTATTTTCTGATTAGGTTTTCTTACTATTTAAATTTTTTATATATTCTAAATATAAGTCCTTTGTCATGTATGTACTTTCTCCATACTATAGCTTCTCTTTTGTTCTTTTAATTGAGTTCTTCAGTGGGCATATTTTTTATTTTAATGAAGTCCAGTTGTCAGTGTTTCTTCCATTTAAGGGTTTTACTTTGGTGTCATGACTGTTAACTCTGCTTACCCTAGGTCATAAAGAATTTCTCCTGTGTTTTCTTCTAAAAAGTTTCATAGCTTTATCTTTTTAATTTTGAGTTAGTTTTGTATAGGGTATGAAGTTTAGAACAAAATTTATCTTTTCCTATAGAGGTTCAATTGTCCCAACAAACTTTGTTTAAAAGCTGTTCTTTTTCATTGTTGCTTTGCATTTTTGTTAAAAAATCATTTGGGCACCAGATGCTGATGAAGATACGGATCAACAAGACTTCTTTCATTACTCTCGTGAATGCAAAATGATACAGCTACTTGGCTGTTTCTTAAGCTAAACATGTTTTATACAACTCCTTAGCATTTGCCCTAATATGTTGATAACTTATGTCTACACAAAAACTTATGTGTGAATTTTCATAGCAAGTCTATTGTTACTGCCCAAACTTGTAAGAAATTAAGACTTTGTTCAGCGAAATGTTATCATTCGCTGGTAAATGGATGGAATTGGAGAACATCATTCTGAGTGAGGTTAGCCTGGCCCAAAAGACCAAAAATCGTATGTTCTCCCTCATATGTGGACATTAGATCAAGGGCAAACACAACAAGGGGATTGGACTTTGAGCACATGATAAAAGCGAGAGCACACAAGGAAGAGGTGAGGATAGGTAAGACACCTAAAAAATTAGGTAGCATTTGTTGCCCTTAATGCAGAGAAACTAAAGCAGATACCTTAAAAGCAACTGAGGCCAATAGGAAAAGGGGACCAGGAACTAGAGAAAAGGTGAGATCAAAAAGAATTAACCTAGAAGGTAACACCCACGCACAGGAAATCAATGTGAGTCAATGCCCCGTATAGCTATCCTTATCTCAACCAGCAAAAGCCCTTGTTCCTTCCTATTATTGCTTATACTCTCTCTACAACAAAATTAGAAATAAGGGCAAAATAGTTTCTGCTGGGTATTGAGGGGCTGGGGGGGAGAGGGAGGGGGCGGAGTGGGTGGTAAGGGAGGGGGTGGGGGCAGGGGGGAGAAATGACCCAAGCCTTGTATGCACATATGAGTAATAAAAGAAAAAAAAAGACTTTGTTCGGTAGATAAACTGGCACATCCTTATGATAGAATAGTATCAAGATTGAAAAGACATCAAGGAACCATAAA